GGCCTGTGAAAGCTCACAGCGGGTGGGGGAACAGAAACCTAGCACCAATGAGAATTGTTGGAGTGCATTGGAAACAGATGCCTTCGCGTGACACGCCGCCCCCCCCCACACCCCCTGGGTGTGTTGGGGCGCCATTCACACATGTTACTTACTGCCGCTGCGCGGCGAGACGCCCTCAACCCTCAACCCTCAACCCTCAACCCTCAACCCTCAACCCTCAACCCTCAACCCTCAACCCTAACCCCTAAACCCTAAACCCTAAACCCTCCCCCCCCTTCCCCCACTGGAGCCTCGATGCTCGTGAGTCCGTGCGTCCGCAGACAGCTGCACGGATGATGCGGGGTAGTTCAGGGCTTCTGGGGGCTTGCAGGGCTTGTCTTGCTAAATGTGTCTTCTAGACTCGGTAGGAATAAAAGGGTAGCCTTTTGGGTTTCAAGGGGATTATAAGGGAACCCCAACCCTAAACAAAAGGAAATAAGGGCCTACTCCCGGGCCTAGTCTTATATAGAGATACATAGCTACAGGTCTTTTGGTTGCCCATATCGTTTGTGTATGAGAGAACTCTGAGAATGATTCAGGCTCCCGCAAGCAGGGCTGTGCTGGATGTGTGCAGGACCTACCAGCTACCAAACCCTAAACCCTAAACCCTAAACCCTAAACCCTAAACCCTAAACCCTAAACCCTAAACCCTAAACCCTGAACCCTGAACCCTGAACCCTAAATGCTGCAAAATCCCTTCTTCACTCCAGTGATTCGTCGGGGATTGGGACAGTAGTGGTGAGGGGGAAAGGAGCCAGGCTCCGACATCCACCACGGCCCAGGTATTGCAGGGCTTCTGGTAGTATTGTACCATCCGTATGTGATGATAATATTCTATTGCTATGTGTGTATATATCCATATATGTCTTGTACATGTATGTTTACCTTGGCTAGGGTACAGGGCGCCATCGAGACGGAGGGGTGGGGGAGGGGGTAACACATTAAAGAGGTGCAACAGTACTGAAGACGATGTTGATGTCTCTTGCGAAGCCTCTCAGCTTCTTTGGCGGGGGCCACCTATATGCGAGTTCGCGAGCTTCTAGGCTCGATTATCACGGAAAGGGTCTAGTTGCTGTTCAAAGGACTGGAGGCTGCAAGGAATTTGGCGTTCTATTGCACTTGGCTGCATCGAGCATTCTGAATTACATGGGACCCATGGCTCTCCAGTCCACGACAAACCGTGTGCCAAAAGTATGCAGCGAACCTCAAAACCACCCAAATTCCTGCCCCAAAACTCTCCCGACCCCCACAAACCCCCCAGCCCAAACCCCAGACCCACCCGAAACCCCAAACCCTAAACCCCACACCCTAAACCCCAAACCCAAAACCCCAAACAGCCGCAGTGCAAGGCCTAAGCCCAGGCCCTAAACCCTAAACCCTAAACCCTAAACCCTAAACCCTAAACCCTAAACCCTAAATTAACCCTAAACTCTAAACCCGAACCCTAAACCCTTAACCCTAAGCCCAGGCCTCCGGAGAAGGTCGGTGAGGCCGCCAGGTCGTGAAACTGGCTCCCCCTGGCCGGTGTGCGAGGGGGGGGGGGGGGGCAAAGCATTTTAGGGTTTGGGGTTTAGGGTTTAGGGTTGAGGGTTTAGGGTTCAGGGTTTAGGGCTAGGGTTCAGGGTTTCGGGTTTAGGGTTTTAGGGATATAAGGAGGAACCCCCTAGAAGGGACCTCGAATCTTATTCCCCTACATAATCCCTCTATACACCTTAGATAGCCCCTACAGCTTTTTTTTTGTTTTGCCTGTGCTGCTTTGCATCTTACCACGAGCATGAAGCACAAGTTTTCTTTGGAGATGGCCCAGTGCAACCTCGAGTTTGTTGATCTCAAAAAGGCAGCTGGATCCCGGCCATGACGATGTTCTGGGCAGACCTCACTGTCCTTTTCAAACCCTAAACCCTAAACCCTAAACCCTAAACACCCTAAATGCCTCTGCAAAACACGCGCTTCTGATCCCTGAAGAACTCAACGTGGATGGCCTAAGCTTCGTCGTTGTGAGCGGCTGTATTCTTAGCCCTCGGGCACCCTCGTGCACCCTGACACCGAAGTAGCAATGTAGCCCCTACGCTCTGTTGCGGTTTAGGGCACAGGGTTGAGGGTCTAGGGTGCAAAAGGCTCCTTGTAAGGGTCCCTCGTTTAGTCCCTTGAAGTCGGCGCGCCCAAAGGGTGGATGCCATAGGGAGTCTAGGGTTCAGGGTGGAAGGGTTTAGGGTTTCGGGTTTAGGGTTTGGGGTTCAGGGTTTTAGGGTTTTTGAGGGTTTGGGGTTTAGTGGGTTTTAAGCTTGGGGTTTGGAATTGCGGGGGGGGGGGGGGGGGGGGTGGGGGGGGGGTGTTTGTTTGGGTTTCTAGGCTTAAAGGGGTGGCGGGGGAATCCGAAGCCTCATAAACGGGCATAACAAGGATCCCGTTGGGCGTCCCATGCTGTTTATAGTTCCGTAAGGTTTCGGATTGAGCGTTCAAGAATTGAGGGAGGGTGTTTAGGCTTTTTGAGGCTTCGGGGCTTCGGGGATCTAAGGTTTGTTTTTGATGCAGGAGTTTGGGGGGTTTGCGGGTGCTGTGGGTTGAGGGAGTTTGTGGGGGTTGAGGCCGGGCATGGGTGTCCAGAGTTTGGGACTCTCAACCCTCAGCTCTAAACCTTTAACCCTAAACCTAAACCTTCAATCTACATAAACCCTAAGCCCTGAACCCTATACCCTAAACCTCGACCCTAAACCCGAATCCTCAACCCAGGTTAAGCCCCAAACGCGCAACTCTAAGAGGGCCAGCGGTGCATCGATGTAGCTCAAGGCTATGCCTGGAAAGGATTTAGGGTTTAGGGTTTAGGGTTTAGGGTTTCAGGTTTAAGACAAGAAAACCAACATCCAGGGCCGGGAATAAAGATTTCAGGTTTATAAGGGGTTGAGGGTTTAGGGTTGTCCTTCGTAAGGGTTTAGGGCTTAGGGTTATCCTTTGTAAGGGCTTAGAGTTTAGGGCTCTCGCACGTAAGCTTTAAGGGCTTCGGCTTGCCCAAGGACATTTGGAGCATAGGGATGCATGGTGTGCGTGCTAGCAAGAGGGGGTTTCCGAACTTAGGGGGCGCCGTATTGTGGTCCTTATTCTAAGGGGATTTTAGTATTTGGGGATCTATTCTAGGGGTCCCCTATGTCCGTAACCCCCAAGTGTCCTGCTCTGCCAACGTCCCAACAACCCTAAACCCTGAACCCTAACCCTAAACCCCAAACCCTAAACCAACAGTCAAGGGAGTCAAACTTGGACCCCTAAGGATATACCCCCACGAGGTTCCCGCAACCTACTCCTCGCATGACCCCGATATTCCCGTGGAGATTCTTTAAACAAGGTCCCCAAAAACCAAGGGTACAACCTTAGGGGTCCCCTAACCCTAAACCCTAAACCCTAAACCCTAAACCCTAAACCCTAAACCCTAAACCCTAAACCCTCAACCCTGTAACCCTGAACCCTAAACCCTAAACCCTAAACCCTAAACCCTAAACCCTAAACCCAAACTTGCGATGCTCAGGAGCTCACGTGTCTCGACTGGTTCAACCGGTCGGGAAACTTTCACCCAGGACCAGTCGTCTTGGGCATCCTCATCCTCCTCGCTGCAGGATTTTCGGCAGTTTAGGGCTTAGGGTTTAGGGTTGGGGTTTAGGGTTTAGGGGTTAGGGTTTAGGGTTGAGGGTTGAGGGTTGAGGGTTGAGGGTTGAGGGTTCAGGGTTTAGGGTTTAGGAATTGAGGTTTGGGGTTTAGGGTTTAGGAAGACATCGACCGGTGTAGACTCCTGGTAACCGGTAGCACAAGCAAGTACCCGCCCACATCTTGGAAAAGCCGGAAGCACGAGACTTCAGCAGAACTGATGTTTACCTTAGTGTTTCGGAAGCTCCAGGTATGGGGGTTTACGACAACAGGGGACCCCTCATGTAGGCCCCTAAATAGTAGGACAGCTCCATATTGAGGCTTTCTTGCTGGGGCCTTGCATGACAAACGATGGATCTTGCCTACCCAATGCCGCCTTCGGGTTCAAAACAGCTCAGAACGCCGAGGACGAGGGCGAGACATAGTACAGCAGAATGAGCCAGCGAATTTCTGCCTAACAAAAACCCAACTACAACTTATCACGTGGTTCCCCCCACTCTCCTCGACATAGTGCTGTTCCCTCTTCGGAGGGGCCACCACCGGAGCGACTGGAGGGAGCTCCGCTGGAGCTGAGCTCTTGGACGGCGGGGCCGCGTCGACGTAGCCAGCGGCCTTGCGAAGGACCACGATGCACAATTCCAGGTATCCCTCTCGCTTCAATCTAGGGGTTCTGCAAAGGATCCCTCAGGGAAGATGAGGGGCTATACTAGGAGTATATTAAGGGGATCCTTTAGGGGGTACATCCTTAGGGGGTACGAGTCTCCTAGGAACTTTCTGGTGATAGCAGTGAGTGCAAGAGCCTATATGGTGCGACATGAAGCCCGAGTCTGGTCCGACAGATGATACTGGAGCCGTAAGCAACTGAACGAACATGTATGTATGTATGTATGTACGTACGTACGTATGTATGTATGTACACATCATGTATATGTTACATCACATGCAGATCGCATATTTTCCATGAATTTCTGCGTTCCTTTGATCCATCTCGGGCCCCGCGCTGCCGGCGCCGAACTCTGTGCTGTCCGGCCAATGTTTGCCTGCGTGCGGGCCTCCGCCCAAGACCTGGCTAGGTCCTAGGTTGGTTTCGGGTTTAGGGTTTAGGGTTGAGGGTTTAGGGGTTCATTCGGCTGGGTTTAGGCTGAATTTCAACTTTGTTGCTGCTTGGGATTTTGTCCGCTTCTGACTTCTCCTTAGAATCATACCCCCCCCCCCCCCCCCCCACGAAAACTCAACAAAGGCCAAACTCCCAGACCCTCATCCCCCCATGCAGCCAAAAAAGCAAGTTCCGGCATGCACCTTTTGCACGATCCTAGTCCTATGTCCTATCTGCCCTGTATGCACAGAGTGCAGAATGAACAGGCTCCATTCTGTATTGACCTCCAGTAGGTGCCAGTTCCGATACCCTTCTGCCCACACAAGCAGCAATGAGTCCAGGTGCCACCACCAAGCCTTTCATGTTCATCGCCTGGCTGGCATTGAAACACAGAAGCCCGACGGTGGTCGATGTCTCGTCGATGTTCGTCTTTCAAGATCTGGAGCTCATGCTCCACGCCTTCTCTCCTCTCCCGCTCCCGCCGCGCCTCCCTTTGAGCCGCCTGGAGCTCCTGCTGGCTGTGGCGTAGGTGTGTCTCCACCTTGTCCCACTGCAGCGTCTGACCCACCATGTTCCGTAGAAGAGTTGGCAACTGCTGAGGCAATGACCTGTGCCGAGCCAGTTCTTGCACGAGCTGTTGATTTTCAGTGGCTGCTTGATGCAGATTTTGGGACAACTCGTGAGTCTCGACTTCCAGCTTTCTTTTCTGAGAACGCAGGTTCAAAGAGCATACTGTCAACGCGGTGGTCGCACAAAACAGCAGCCCGACTAAGGCAGAAAAACCCATTTTGGCAACTTCTTCCTCGGCTTGGAGCTTTTGAAATTCCTCCTCCAACTGCTGCGCGGCTCCATCTTCCACAAGGGACGACCGCGTCATGCTCCACAAGGCCCCGCACATGCAGCAGAGCTGAAGAAAGACCCTCGTCACCCGCCACATCAAACTCGAGCCGGCAAGCTGCACGGTGGCATCCTGCCCACTACAAGAAAGGCATGCCGCCATCTGCTGCATTTGCGCCCTCTCGTCCTGCAACCTTTGGGCCTCGGCTCGGTACTCCAAGTTCTCTGTCAACAATGCGCTCTCTGCGTCCTCCTTCTCTCTTTGGGAGCTGTGCTCACCATCTCGTTCCAGCTCCGCTGACTTCAGGGCTTCAAGCTTCGCGCAGTGCTCCGCCCACTTGGTTGGTGTGACGAAGAGGTCGAGACGCTGGGATAGCTCCGTCGACTCACAAACAAGCTCACACATCTGCCGGTTGTAGGTCTTGCTCATCACGGTTGCCCCCACGTGCTCGTAAAGCTCTTGGACCGAGTATGGTTCGTTCTTCGTGATGTAGTTTGTCAAAGCGTCAGCAAACGATCCATCCTGCGCAGTTCGGCCAAGCAAGCAAGCCTTTATCTCCGCATGCTGATGCTTCTTGGTGCCCAGCTCTCTTTTTGCGGAGTAGACTTCCCCGCGGTGCACTTGGCTGCGAATCCTGCAGCAGTCCCAAAACGCAACGCACGCCAGCTTCTGAGATGGGCCTGCTGTATTCAAGAGCTTCATGACAAGCTCGTGGACAAGCTTGGATCCTTGCATGAATCCGAGGCCAGCGCAGCTTGGGTGTCCGGCACAGGACATGCATAAGTGCAGACCCCCTTGGTCAAACTCAAGCCCGTGGCCAGCAAAATAAATCACAACAACCATTGTCTGGCCATCTCGACCCCTCTGGGCATGTGTCTGGGCCGCAACGGTCGCCAGGAAGTTGTCGATTTGTTGTTCCAGATCCTGCGTATGTCTCGCGTTTTCTACAACGTGAGAAGTGTATCCAAGGGAACCAAAGGCTCGTGCAACGGCTCTCGCATCGGCCACCGCTCTTTCCAAAGGAGCATAACCACTTGCATACTGAGAGATGCCAACGCACAGGCAGAGCCTGTCCGGACTGGCTGTTGTCATCTCCTCGGTGAAGCTGTCCCGAAAAGTACGCCATCCACTGCGCAGAAGAAGACGCCAGCGCGCAGAATCCTTGCTGAAATCGTGCCACCACTCCCTCACGGCGGCTACTGCCTGCGATGTCACGACGAGGAACGGTGAGCACAGAAAATATGTCAAGGTTGAGCCGCAGGAGAAGCCAGCTAAGAAGGCAGCGCAATAAGTTGAGAATGTCAGAGCCAGACAGAAGAGCGGCAAGAGACGGGCCTCTGTCCAGAATACAACTTGAAATTGGACTGCCTGCCACATGCTGCAGCTTCTCAGCTGTCTCAAGGAGTCCCTGGACCAGCAGAATGTACAGAAGGCGGCCAGCTCCTCCCTCATCACCTTGCTACCGGCGCTGCCTGTAGCCATGTCACGCTAAGGGCAACGAATGAGCCGAGTCTAAGCGTGACCTGAAACGTTGCGCTGCCCATGCTGGATGTGTCTGGGTTGAGGTCCCTGAAAAATCTTAAGACCCTACAAGCACCTCTTCCAAATAGAAAGCGTTGAAAAAAACCCGCAGAAACGTCCCAAAGGTCAGATACTCGAGATTCAGGACTCAGGGCAAGGGCTTTTGCTTGGGGCGTTGAGGGTTCCCACAAACCCCAAATACTCCTTACTTCCACCCCCCTCCCACAAACCCCCTCCCCATGTCAACCTGTGGAGGAAGCGAGGCAAGGGTGACTGCACGAAGCGCGACTTGTGGACTCGGCCGTTCAGGCCCAGCTCCTCAGCCCACTCCTGGGGCCGAGAAGGGCTTTTGAGCACTTTAAGAGAGGGGTAAGAACGGAGGTGTAGGGCTTCGTTCGTTTTTCGTGAGGCCTTTCAGGGTTATAGACTGTTAAAGTTTCAGGGTTGGAGCTTTCATTCTGTAGAAAGGTGAGTAGGGTATGTGAATCTAGGTTAAGGCTTGCTTGCTTGCTTGCTTGCTCGCTTGCTTGAAAAGCAGTGGCCCAGGAATGCCAGCACGAAGCTTGCTGGTGCTAATCAAGGACTTCGGAAATTATGTACCTTCTATGCCCCGATGCCTCTTTAAGGGCTTTCCTTGCGAAACCCTGATCAGAACCAATAGGGTTTAGGGTTTAAGTCAGTGCGACCCTTAGCCCTACCGCCCTGGCTGCTGCAGTCGCCGGGCTCCCGGGCGCGTGCATCCTCCTCGGAGGTGGCACCTGCCGCGAGGTCGCTGACGCTGCGGAGGTCTTTGTCCTTCTCCTGCGGACATGGTTGGGGTTTAGGGTTAGGGTTTAGGGTTCAGGGTTCAGGGTTTAGGGTTTAGGGTTTCAGAAGCGGACGGTCAGGGTGAGGTTCCTCAGGACCCTGAGAGTAGAAACCGCGCCCTGTTTTGATGAATGGGGCCTTATGAACTAAGGGACATCAAACCCTGAAAAAGAGGACAAGACAGGGGAAAACTACCCAACATCCGACATGTAGTTCTCCTGTGGTATAGGTTCTGGGGTTTAGGGGTAGGGCTTAGTTTAGGGTTTAGGGTTTAGGGATTCTAGGGTTTGGTACTTAGGTATCGGGCTTTTGGGGACCCTAAACCCTAAACCCCAAACCCTAAACCCTAAACCCTAAACCCTAAACCCTAAACCCTGGGGGCGTCTGGCCTCCACAAGGTCCAGTTGCTCCTCCTGGAAGCCCTTGCTGAGAAACAGGGCCTCAGCGCACCGCGCAACGTCGCGCCCCAACGCCCCGAAGCACCAAAGGCCCCTGAAACCCTTTGAAGGAGTTTCGGGTTTTAAGGGTTCAGGGTTTAGGGTTTAGGGTAAAACCCTAAACCCTAAACCCTGAACCCTACTCCAGCAACTCCGGAATACCAAGCGTGCCCATTTTTTGTGTTTTATGGCCTTGGCGAGGGAAATAAAGCCCCTGACAAAAAGGGACTCCTGCTCCTCCCACGACCATGACTACGACGACGACGACTACGTACCTTGGCTGCACTCAGGAGGGTAGCTATAAATTAAACTTTTAGCTGCCTTACAAAGAAACCCAATAAACCCAAAAAAGGTAAGGATCTAAAGTTACGGTAAAGTACCACAAAGTTACTACTAGCGGGTATCCCAGCAATTTAAACCCCAAACCCAAACCGCCGACCCACTCAACGTTCCAAGGCCATGGCCCGCAAGAAGCCATCCATGGCGTTGGCCAGGAGAACCCGTCGGGTTCAACTACGAATAGACTTTTTGTTTGGGAGAGGGGAGGGGGGGGGGGTTTGGGGTTTAGGGTTTAGGATTTAGGGTTTAGGGTCTCATCTACTCGGTTGTGTCAGCAGCTCCTCTGGGCAAAGCCCTGAGCCCTAAGCGCTACCAAGCTGCGTTTGCCTTGGCTGGGGCTTTGGAGGTCGGAGGGTGGGCTTGTTGTGTATCCGATGGCTCTCAAGGCTTAGAAACAGGGCTTTAACAAGCGGCGCAATGGTGTGGGCCGAAGCTCCACACACAGTCGGCGAAAGCATGCATTGAGGCTCCAGGCTTCAACATTTGCCGGGTATGTGAAGAAACAGCACATGGAAACTGTGGCGCAAATATCCCTTCCAGCTCTGAACCTTGACCCTCAGCCCCCGAGCCCTATTTAAGCCCCCTACTTGTTGCCTAAGAACCCTCAAAAAAAACAAAGATAAATAATCCCGATATTCCCCTTATAGGGAAGAACCTTTACAGTTTTTTGGGTGGTTCCCAAGCAAATGGTAGCCCCGAGGAAGCCAGTATGGCCAGTTCTCTAAATCAACGTGTCAGACGTGCCTAGGCTGCGCAAAAGGAATCTGACGGAGAGAGCTGACTATGTGAACCCTAAGCTTTGAACCTAAATCCTGAACCCTAAACCCCAAACCCTAAACCCAAGCCCTTGAAACCCTAGTCCGCGTGCGGCGCGCAGTGAAGCTGTCGGAACTTGGCCTCCGTCATCCAAGGCGGGATCGTACTCGGACATGTCACCGGCTATCCTCAGGGCTGGGGTTGAGGGTTGAGGGTTGAGGGTTGAGGGTTGAGGGTTGAGGGTTGAGGGTTGAGGGTTGAGGGTTGAGGGTTGAGGGTTGAGGGTTGAGGGTTGAGGGTTGAGGGTTGAGGGTTGAGGGTTTAGGGTGTAAGGCCACTCGAGAATGGAGACGGGGAGGAGGGGGAAGGGCTTCCAAAAGAGAGAACTCTGTACTCTGCACCGCGTGACGATACCCATTAAACAAGTCACGAACAGTGCCGGATGTGGCCAACCCAACCCTAGCTCTCCCAGGCAACAACACTGTAGGCCGCGGCCCTGCAACCCCCGTTCCGGCTCTAAAAACCTACAGGCACGCGTCAACAACATCAACCCCATAGACCCTGAACCCTAGCCCTAAACCCTAAACCCAAAAGCAAGACATCTCGGAGCCCCGGGCGGGTCGTAATTCTCGAAGCCGGCCCAGCCGGGAATCTTGAGGGGCGCAGTGATGGGGCTTAGGGTTTAGGGTTTAGGGTTTCAGGTTTAGGGTTTAGAGGAGGATTAGGGTTTAGAGCAGGTTTAGGGCTTGCAAAGTATCACAGAGATTGAAGCTTTCAGCCTTTGGGGTGCACAAGGCGCAAAGGGCTTGGGGTCCAGGGTTTAGGGTTTCCAAAGTTTCGCGAAATTGCCCGAAACCCCAAACACCACACCCTGAACCCCCCAATCACAGACCCAAAGCCCTAAACTAATCCCAAACCGCAAGGCTCCAACGTGTAGGCTGTGGGGTTCCTCGGATTGAAGGTGGGGTTTAGGGTTTAGGGGTTTTAGGGTTTAGGGTTACAAGGTGTTAAGGGTCAAGAGTTCCAGGGGCGTGCCATTGCAGCCCCATGCTTCCAACTCCACTTGGACGAGGGTGCCGGGGAGGTTCGGGGTTCGAAGGCCCCTTTGTTTAAGCGCGCCCCGAGCCTGTGAAGAGCCCTATCAAAGCCCTATACCCCACCGCGCTGAACTCCCTAAGGCTACCAACCCCTAAACCCCTAAACCCGAAACCCTAAAGCCCCAAAAACCCTGAACCCCCAAACTCCTAGACCCTGCAGCTTCCGCCCCACCGTCTGTCGGCGCCTCCAGCTTATACTTCTCAAGGATCTCGTGCACCTGCGAAGCCGGACTTTGGGGGGGTTTATTGAAATTATTAAGGGTTCAGGTCCGGGGAAGTTTCGAGGAGTTTCTGTTTTGGATTTTCTTAACAATTTCAAGTGACAGGGGGCTTGAGGGTTTTCTGGTTTAGGTTTAGGGTTTAAGGTTTAGGGTTCAGGGTTTAGGGGTCCCTCGACTCCCCACATCCTGAAGCCGGCCGGCCTTCGGGCGAGTTGCGACCAACTCTTCCAGCAGCGGTGTTAGCCTTGGCGACCCAGGAGAGCTTTGGGGGCAACCAAAACCCAAAACCCAAAACCCAAAACCCAAAATCCGAAACCCAAAACCCAAAACCCTAGCCCTAATTAAGCCCCAAGCCCTAAACCCTGAGCTGCAACTTTGACGAATCCCAGGCCGCCGTGCGCGAACAGTGCGGTGTCATTGGGATCATCGTACCTGATGGGCGCGGCAGGTTTCGCGATTGCTTTATAGGGCTTTGGGTTTAGGGTAAGGTTCCGAGTTTCGCGATAACTTTATAGGGTTTCGGAGCCTGTTTGGTGATCAAGGGATGCGCATATAGGACCCTAAGCCCTAAACCCTATGGCTAGGGGGTAGGAGGTGGTGTCTCAAGAATTGGGTGCGTGAGTACTCGGAAGCCAACTCCCAAAATACTTCAACGCGCACCAGGAGAGGATGAAGATGCCATTGTGTGGCTGCAGCATGAAGTTCTCCTGTTGTTGCTGGAGTCTAAACCCTAAACCCTAAACCCTAAACCCTAAACCCTAAACCCTAAACCCTAAACCCTAAACCCTAAACCCTAAACCCTAAACCCTAAACCTCAACTCGGAGAGGCCTACAGGCAGCACTTGGGGTTTGAATGGGAAATATCCGGAGCCCCAATCCAAGACCCGAAGCCCTGAGCCCCAACTACCCCTTTGTTGAGGTGTAGGTTTCAGGGTTCAGGGTTATGGGTTTAGGGTGTAAGGGTTATATCGGACTGCGGGAACAACTTGACTTTGCAGGGGAGCCCGGTAGCCCGACGAACTTGACTTATGCAGGGGGCCCGAAACCTAAACCCTAAACCCTAAACCCTAATGTTGCACCCGTTTTGGGGAGTGGGGGCACTATTATGCGTTTTTCCGGAAATCTTATGAGGGGGGTCCGCAATTATGCGAGGTGCGCGGCCTGGGGATGAAGGGCCCCGGCCGGGAGCCAAAAACGGAAAAGTTTGGAATAAGAAACTCCGGAATTTTCTGGTGTCCAGCTTTATTCAAATTCCTTTTAAAATTTCATTACGAAACAGGCTCCCACACAATTTTCCAAGGGAG